GGGATCTGGAATGCATTGCCTTAAAGAGTGGTGGAAGCTGTTTCAATGAAAACTTTCAAGAGAAAAGTAGATTGATATCTGGGGGAGGACAAATTTGTAGGACTATGGGGAAAGAGTGGCAAAGTGGGATTAATTTTGACATCTCTTTCAAAGAGGTAACACAAACATGAGGGCCAAATTGCTTCCTTCTGTTTTGTATACTTCTATGATTCTATAACACACAAATGTAAGGATAGCATGAGGATTCTCTGACTGTTCTGCTCCATTCAGACCTCCCTCTTGACAGCTCTGCTCTTTGCTTTCTCCAAACGATTACTGGAAAATCTTCCTTGTATACTAAAACTATCCTAAACTTCTTTTTTACAGATCCCTGAGAACCTCCTGATCTGATTCCTATGAGGTGGCAAGTTATCAGTGTCAGCTTTTTGCCAAGGACTTATTTATCTTTCTCACTGAGCCTCCATAAATTCACATAATCCTCTAGGTGCCTTGTTTGAATGTTATGATCAACAAATGGATGATTTATTCCGCATAGCCTTTCTCTGTGCCTACTGTGGTTAACTGTTGCAGTGTCGATACATCTGACAGTAACCTACTCCAATCATTAGTCATTCTCAGGTTAATGAACAGCTTTGTGGTGTGTCCTCTTCTTCTCATGTCATGATGCATTCTAATGTATTAACCTGGGTTTACTTTTGTCATTCATATCAATCAATGTCCGTGCAAGGCTTGAACCGAGAAGATACACAATGCTAATAACAAAACAACTTGCATTTACACAGCACTCTTCATGTGGGTAGGCAACTTGGAGTACTTAAGAATGGCGGAAATTGATACCAAGTTGGGAAAATGGAGGAGGGGGATGTGACCATAGGCACAGTCTAAGAGAAAGGTCTTCGGTTGTGATCTGAAGATGGGGAATGAGAGCTAAATTGGAGGGATTGAGGCAGGAAGGGAACAGTGGACCTGCAGGAGGCTGGAGCCAGCAAACTGAAGGGTTGGGTAGTGAAGTGGGGTGTAAGCAGGTTGGAGAAGAAGGAAGGAGCCAGAATGTGAAGTAACTTAGTGATTTGTGGCAATGCTCAGCGGCCATTTTATTTTGTTCCAATCCAGAACCACTATCCTGGTGAATTGTCTGTCAACAACAAGAAAAATGACATTTGTATAGTGCCTTTCATGGCAGGATGACATCCAAGGCACAGGTCAGACATCAACATGAAGTCTTGGATTAGAGATTCCCACACTTGAATGTTGACAAGAACGTGGTTCTCCTGCTTGGCTCCTATCAGCACCTACTCACCTCCTCTGATAGCGTCATTATTCACGAATACACTCTACATCTCTGCAAGACAGTAGAATCTCGATTCTTGTTCAACCATCAACTGCCTTTTTAACCCGACATCCATCCCCCAAATCATTGACCACCCTCAACCCCAAATCATTGACTATCCCCAGCCTCAATTATTGGCAACTCTCAATCCCAATCATTGACCACTTTCATCAACACCAACTCGCATTTTTATAGCGTCCCGACGCTTGACAGTGGTGGAGTAGAATGCTGAACTGGGAGTGGATTGTAGGTACGGTCGAATAGGAAGGTCTTCAGGCACGACTGGAAGATGAGGAAGGAAGGGACCAGGTGGAGGGGCAGACAAAGAGTGTTCCTGAGTTTTGGGGCCCAATGATATGAAAGTGCGGCCATCAACGGTGGAACAGAGGCACGAGTGACGTGCATAACAACAAGAACAACAACAACAAGATTTCATTTATAGAGCGCCTTTCACGTCAGGAAGACGTCCTAAGGCGCTGGACAGTTGGGTCGGGACCCGAGCAGGGGGGAAATGGTCAGGGTGAGGGGAGGGAAGGGAGGGAGCGAGGAGGGGGTAGAGAGTCGAGAGGGGAGGTGAAGGCATGGTTGAAGAGAAGGCTGGAGCCAGTTGCGCAAGGCAAAGGCCTGTGGCGGATAATAATAATAATAATAATAATAATCCTTGCATTTGATATAGCGCTTTTCACGTCGGGAGGACGTCCCAAAGCGCTTCACAGAACACACTGTAAAGTGAATTGACTGTATATTTGTGGGCGAACCCAGCAGCCAACGGTGCACAGGAGCGTCCCACAAACAGTCGTAGATTGAAAATGACCAATTTATTATTGTTTTTGGTTTTGGAGGGATTATTATAGGCTCTGTGTGGAGTAAGGAAACTTGCCCAAGGTTTCACCCTCTGCCTGGAATTGAACTCAGGTCTCTCGCTTGCAAAGCGAGTGCTGAAACCACTGAGCTACAGGACTCCACAAAGCAGGTTGGAGAGGTAGGGAGGTGCCAGGGCATGAAGGGATTTGAAAATAAGTGTGAGTGTTGGGTTCAGGAAAACGGAAAGAATAAAACCCACTTATTCTATTCAGCCGACTTTTTATAAAGGACTCGAGAAAAGACGAACCAAAGACACTCAGCAATTTATGTTTTGAAAATGTCTTTACTTAACATGAAATACAAAGTTTGTTGGTTCAAATATCACAATACAACAGACAACTCAATAGCATAGACAAATCTCTATATCAAAGTAAATAAAATTATAAAAGTCTATAAATCATACAAATCTTGATTCTTTGATGGAGTCAGTTGATAAAAGTCACAAACAGCAAGCAAAAGTCTTTCAACTATCTCATCGTTAACATAACACTAATTAAAAGATGAATTTGTTGTGGTAAAATATCTTCAACAATCATAAACAAGTCATCTTGACATTTTTCTCATTACATCATCATTTTTAACTATTAATCAAATGGTGTCTAATCATCTTAAGCATTTCATAGCATTAAAATAATTAATTTGATTACATGCGTTAATGTATATTCACAATTACTGTTATGAAGCAGGATGGCAAAATGAGAATCTTGAAATTGATCAGATCGGCAGTAAGGAGTCAGTGGAGCCTGGCTAGAACTGGAGTGATGGGGGTACAGTGTTCAGAGTTATGGTGTCTCAGAGCATTGCTTTTGAGCGAACTATTTTGGACTCGCGTCCGTCATCTGTCAGCACTCCTCAGACTGTTAGCGAATCAATGTGAGTGACTCGGTTTTACAGTCGGTGCAGAAGTAAGGATAGAGAGACTCAATGAACTTGTGGGTGAATGTGTGGAGATGGATCATGTGGTCAGCATCGTACAGCGATAACTGACCACCCGGATAGTCCAGGTACACGCCCAGTGTCTGGGGTATTGTTTTCAAGGAGAGTGGGGTATGAGGTGTGGTTAGAGCTTCATACTTCCCTTTGTACAGCTCCACACCCCAACTCCAGTCTTAGGTCCTGGTGTGAATAAACTCTTCCTGGACACAGACTCTCGGGCCACCCCCACAATCCAGTATGTGTTGTTCCCCACCCCCACCCCCACCTCCCAGTAATGTTTCCCTGATGTGAAACCCACAAATCCTAGGACACTGTACAATTGATTGAACCTCTCTGGGGTGTCAGGAACCTGCTGCTCTTTGTCAGCGAATCTCACTTGGGTCCGGTCCTCAGACAGGATGAGGCAGGGATGGGCTGTGTTAGGATCCAGAGTCAGAGAAGCTGCAGATGAAACAGAGAATGAATGTTGACATGTTGTGTAATAAAGGTTCACATTATATCTCATTGGTTCATTCAGTGAGGTTTCAATTTCTGCTCTGTGTGTCTCAGGTTATATGCAGATAATGAGTAAATAATAATAATAATAATTATCCTTGCCTTATCATGTCTTTGAGACGTCTGAAACACTTCACAGAATACACTCTAACATAATTTGACTGTATACTTTGTGGGCAAAATGGGACAACCAATTGTGCAGCATTGTCCCACAAACAGTCGTGGATTGATTGGCCAAATTATTATTTTTTTTGAAGGAATCAATACCCCTGGAAAAGTGATTTGCCAATTGCCTAACATCCAGGTTCCTACTTACTGCTCAGTAAACAGAGGTGAGTGGAGTAAGGAAACTTGCTCATTGTCTTGCTTTGCTGGGAATCAAATGCAGGTCTCTCGTTTGCGAGATGTGTGCACGAACCACTGAGCCACAAGACTCCAGGTTACTGAATGTTTATGTCTCGGGGCTTGACCATGCTCACCGGACTGAGCTCCCAATAATTGTATTTAATATTCTCAGCAACACAGACAAATTTTTAAATAAAAATCTTTGATTTTGATATCACGCCTTTCACATTGTGAGGATGTCTCAAATCACTTCACAGGATTTTCTGTAAAATACAGGACTGTGTATTTCAAGACATCCAGTTTGTGCTCATTAAAGTCTCCCAAATAGCAATGAAATTGATAACCAACTTCATTTGGCCTGAACACCGGCAGGGCCTCCCTTCCCTTTAACATTTCTTTAATGTTGGTTTGGCAAACATGAGCTTGGTTTAACATCTTTATCTGAACGACGGCACCTCCAACAATGCCATACACGTCCAGTACTTTATTGATGTGTCAGCTTCAACTGTGAGAGTTGAAACACCAAACTTTGGGTTTGAACAAACAATTCCTTGACTCAGAGGCAACAGTTATACCAAATAAGTCACACTGATGAGATCACTGACCATCTTCACCTTCATTATCCTCACCTGATTACGGACAACACTCACTAAAATGATTAACCACCATCAACATTGACCAGCCGAGCACATCATTGACTACCCTCACCCCTGCAATGACACCCCCATCTTAGATCATCCTAGATCATCATCGACCACACTCACCACAACATATATACCCTTCTCTCCTCCACATACCTCTCTGAAGAATCGCCTCAATATTCTTTGTTGTCATCTCTCTCAGCTCCACAAATAACCTTTTCATGCTGTTAGATCCCATTTTCCAGAGCATTTTATGTAAGTTGTCATCCTCCCCATCACCTGTGCTACCATTCGCGGAATCTCCAGAGGTTACACTCTGGGTGAACATGGCTGAGGTGTTGAATTTGAAATGAACTGGCTGCCCATTGACATCTTTGGGACACGGTAACTCAGATTGGGTGATGGCCTCGAGAACAAGGAGGAAGCTGTTCATCTGCGAAGGTCACCAGCACACGGACATTCTCAGTAATATCTTTGCCAAATGTATCAAGAAATGAACTAAATTGACATTCCTGTTCAGATGTTAATTGCACTATGGAGGCTTGGACAACAAGGCACAAGGCATCGATCTGTGTTACACCCTTTGGGGAAGAAAGGAGATCTGTGATCTGATGAGAGAACTTATAACATCTGATGTATTCAGGGATGTGTTTATTTTGTGCTATGTCCTCAAATCTCGGTGTATCTACAATAGTTACTGAGAAAGGAATCTTGAATCCCTCTTGGTAATTGAGTTCATAGACAATGACTAAAGGTGATTCAGCCTCGGAGCTATTTGTTTCTTCCTCGGTCAGTTTGTAACGGAATGTGTCCTCCCATTCCACACCAAGGATGTAGTTGATCATGGCATCGATGAGGCTGGTTTTTCCAGATTCCCTTTCTCCAAGGAGCAAGATGGTCTTCACACTGTGTGTGGGTGAGTGGCTTCCAAAGCTGTATTTTATGATCTCTCTATTCTTGCCAAACTTCTGTATTCCTAACGGGAGCTTGTAAATAGTTTGGCTTCCGGTAATTAATGTACTTTCTATGAGAGGCCCTTGAGCCTGTGGCTTTGGTTTGTTGTCTGTTGTTATTGAGGCCAGGTAACTGGGTGCACTCTCCACCTGTCCACACACAGCAGACACCCTCAGTGTGTAGGATGTGCTGGGTTTCAGCCCCTTCAACCTGTAAAGAGCTTCACTGCCTTTACTGCCTTTTGTGCTGAGCTTTTCCCATGTGTCTGGCTCAGGGCTGGAGATGCTGCTCCTCGTTTCTCTATACTCCAACTTGTAGTGATCGATAGTGACCCCATGTCCAATCTGAGCAGGACTGTCCCAGGAGACTTCCACATCAAACCCCTCTAACTGGCACATTGAAACATTCTCAGGGGCACTTGTGGGCAGTGTAGTCACACGCACACTATCACTGGGTGGGCTGCATGCTGCTCTGTATTGGAACTGATACTCCTGGTAAGGAGATAAACCAGTTATGGTGCAAAAGTCTGATCCCACCTCTGTGTTTTGAGATTTCCATTCCTCCTCCTGGGCGCTGCGGTATTCCACCCAGTACTGTACAGTCTTGCAATTGCCAGGGTCTGGTGCCTGTAACCGCAGAGTTATGCTGTCATGTGTCATTCCACAAACAAAGGGAACTGCAGGCTTGAAGCAGCGGCTCACCAAAACTCCTCCTTCATACAGGTAAATGGAAGCTCCAACATGCTCCTCGTCTGGCTCAGATGCAACGATGAACTTCATGTTTTTGTCCAATTTGTTGGCTGTATAAAATCGTAGAAATAATTGTGCTCGCTCCCTCATCTCACGGGACACGGTCCCTGAATTAAACCATTGCTTCTGATCTGATGTTTGAAGCTGGGTTTGCCCATTGTTTTCACATTGAAGGTGGTTGGCCATTTCTAACAGATTTAAATCTTCCTGGTGCAGCGATGTGAATATGAAGCAGACCACATACTCTGTGTCCTGATCCTGTGTCTCCGAGACCAACTCATTGCATGATTTCACCATTTTTATGTTACTCATTTTTTTGAGATAACCACTGACCACAGACATTTCCTTGTTCTTGTCGTCCAGCCATTGAGTGAGTGATTGGCTTCTGAATGGTGATTGTTCCATGGTCTTCAGAATATCAACCAGTTTCCCTTCCTCCTCCCCACCTCCCCGAATAGATGGTACCACTCTGGCCAAGGCCTTCTGGAAACCCAGTTTGTACTCCTCGCACATTGATCTGAACCTCAGGATCTTTTGTTTGATCTCTGGAAATTGAACACTGACATGATCTTTCATCATATCATTGCACTTCATCTCAACCTCATTGATTTGCTCCAGTATGGCCTGTGAGCGATTGAGCAGATTTATACTGATATCACATACAAGCTTAGCTGCCGTTGAGTCCAACTGGTTGAGTGGGTATAGCCAGACTTTGACAGGCACCGCATGCTTTCCATCCTCCCCCAACAGTTTTGGCAGAGTTGAGTAAACATTCATTGCATCTTGGAATGTAGTGGGATTCTTCGGAAGAGCAAAATCGCCATAAAATGTGCAGGTCAATTTCTGGGTATTTGAATTTTCTGTCAACTTCAGGGAACCTTCACCCGCGATTCCAACATTCTTGATGGCCTCAATGACTCCATTCATAATGCCCTGAATATCTGTTAGGCTCTCTGAGGAAGTGACTTGTCTATCAAACACAAAGAATGCCTGAGCTCCGTACAGCACTGCTGTGACCACATGGGTTGCTGTGCCCTGATCAAACACGTAGGGGTATGACACATTCCCTCGCCCCAAGTGGTTCATTGTCAACTGCTTATACTTTGTTGTTGTGGAATACTGGAGGGTCACTCGAGCCTGTTCCTTAGATTTCTTTGTGTCGGTAAGGAACTTTGCAGAACCATCCACCTGAACCAATCCACTCAGCAAGCTTGCCTTCAATGTCCCCATCACCTTCAAGGCCTTGGCTTTGTCCTCAATGCAGTCTGACGCAATGATGTGAAACTCTGTGTTGTGCTTAGAATGCTCATACAGGTTATTATTCAATGTGTCCAAGTCCCACAGTGTGACCCCTGCAGAATAAGATCACTACTAATATTATCACAGGGTCTGGTAAATATACACAACAACGACTTGGATTTATATAGCGCCCTTCACACCAGATGCCGTCTATGTAAACTTAAATATAGTGTTTACAGGAAAATGGGTTTAAACTAAGTCTAGTTACAATATAGGATTTCACAGTGAAGGTAATTATGATGCATTCTTCCACACGCAGAGATATCGCATTCCATTCGGACACAGGAAATTTCCATGTGTATGAGGTATACAAATGTGGAATCCCAGTCTGATTTGAAAACTCTAAAGCATGACGATTGGTTTTAAGCTGACCAAGGAAAACTAAGCTGTATAAATTGTCAGTTAGATTACAGTTAGATATTTGTTTGGTTTTGGTCATCTACCACTTTGGGACAACCACTTGCATTTATATTGTTATTTTGGTTAACGTCTCTGGGTTCTTCACAAGGAGCGGTTAGACATTGAGTAAGGGAGGGGGCAGCAGGAGGAAGGTGGGCATAGTTCAAATATTTGAGGCGACACTTTAGAACAGAAACAGAGGGCTCGATAAGGATTGGTAGAGAGAAGGAGCTCCAGATGCTAGGGGTGTAGTGACTGATGGTTGGTAATGCAGAGAAGGGGATCCTATGTTTCACTCACAATATATATAGTTAATTCACTTTACAGTATATTCTGTGAAGCACTTTGAGATGTCTCAAGACGTGATAAGGCGCTATATCAAATGGAAGGATTATTACAATGTGTTCACACTAGTCTCCTGACACAATCTGTTTCCACTTCCAGGTAAGTATTTGGAAGTGTCTAAATCAAGAGCACTGTATTAGGCAGAGCACAAATTGGGAAGGGATGACATTACCTGGGATCAAAGAGTCTGAGCGACAGTCATACAACATCCCCAACTGGAATGGACGGCCCAAACATGCCAGCTCCATAGTCCTACTCCCTCCACTGGCCATCGTCACAATGGGCTGTAACTCAGACCTGCAGACATAGAAAAATAACTTACATTTTACAGATCATTTCATTGAAATATCTCACTAGTTTATTGATAATTACTGTCAAATGTGGAATAGTTGCACAACGCACAGAGATGCATGGCCTAACTGTGGGCAGGAAGATGGTGGCAATGCTCTCACACATTTCATGCTAAGCTGTGCTGCCCATTGAGGAGTTTGCAGATAGATCCTAGTAACTATCATCCATCTAGTGAGGACTCATACATCTTGCTGTATGTCAAATGATCAACTGGTAACTGTCCTCCTTGGTGAGGGAGGGAGGAAAGGGTAATTGAATCTTAATTGAGAGGAACATGTTTGACAAGGGAATGTCAGAATCAAGCCCGACATCTGTGATGGTCTCACTAATCAGGTTCCTGAGCCAGATGGCTCACAGTCACTATGCATCTCAGTCTGTCCCTATCTTTATATCACCCCAATACATCTCACTTTGTTACGGTCAGAACAGGAGTGTTGTTACGGTCTGGAATACACTTTCTGAAAGGATGATGGAAATAAATTCTACAACAACTTTCAAAGGAGAATTGGATAGGTACTGGAAACGGAATAAATTTGCAAGGATATGGAAAGTAGGACTGATTGTGGGAAAGATAGAGAGAGTTCACTCCATTCCATAAACAAGGAATTTTCCATATGTAGGTGATATGTGGAACTCTGTTTTGGTGACTCTTAAGCATGGTTTCCATGTTTGTCAGATACCTGATTGACCAAAAAAACAATCTGTCTCTTATTTTAAACAAACAATTTAGCATTAATCACCCAGAATGGGTCATGATTACTGAACTGGAACTGTATAATGCAACAGATCAATTGTTAATAATAACAATCTGACCACTTAGTAGAACATGGTGGAATGGGCTGACATGTGGCAGATGGATTTCAATGTGGGTAAGTGTGAGGTGATACACTTAGGTAGGAAAAATGATAGGAGGCAATATAGACTTGGTAGCTCAATCTTAAGCGGGGTGAACGTACAGAGAGATCTGGGCGTTGTAGTAAGCGAATCATTAAAGGTAGCGGGGCAGGTAGATAAGGCAGTAAAAAAGGCATTTGGTGTACTGAGCTTTACTAGTAGGGCATAGAGTATAAGAGTAGGGGTTATGGTTAATCTGTACAAAACACTGGTTAGGCCTCAGCTGGAGTACTGCGTCCTGTTCTGTGCACCTTACTTCACGAAGGACATTAAGGCACTGGAAAGGGTGCAGAGGAGATTCACGAGAATGATACCAGGAATGGGGAACCTTAGCTATGCGGACAGGCTGGAGAAGTTAGGACCTTTCCCATTAGAGCAGCGAAGGTTACGCGGGGACCTGATAGACATCTTCAAGATCATGAAAGGTTTTGACAGGCGAGATAGGGAAAAGCTGTTTCCGCTGGTAGGTTTCCTGTGGTCACAGTCTTAAGATATCTACCAAAAGAAGCAGAGGAGAGGTTAGAAGAAATGTTTTTACTCAGCGACTTGTTCGAATTTGGAATGATCTGCCTGAAAGGGCAGTGAAGTCCGATTCCATAACAGCTTTTAAGAGAGAACTGGATAGGTATCTGGGGAAGGCAGGTTTGCAGGGTTATGGGGAGAAAGCTGGTGATTGGGGTTAGTGAAAGTGACGCTCTGTCAAACAGCCGCACAGACTCGATGGGCCAAATGGCCTCCTTCTGTGCCGTAACATTTTATGAATCTATGAACATTTGTTTTTGCCCACAAAATATATAGTCAACTCAGTTTACAGTATATTTTGTGAAGGACTTTGAGACATTTCGAAGATCCAATAAGGCACTATATCAAATACAAGAATTATTAACACCTTTCACACCTGAAGGTTATCCTACAGTGCTTCACGGGATATAGTGTAAGTGTAGTAACTGTTATTTAGGTAAAGAGAGTAGTAACAACCCACAAACAGCAATCGTGTGAGTAAACAATTTTATTGGAGGCTTGTCGACGAGGACGCCAGGAGAGAGAAACTTATTACCCTTTTCGAATCTTTAATCTCTTTAGGTCCACTTGAACGAGCAGTTTAATATCTCAACAACAACAACAACAACAAGATTCCATTTATTGAGCGCCTTTCACGTCGGGAGGACGTCCCAATTGCTGTCCTTCTCATCCGAAAGACAGCAACTCTAACATTGTATTGCGCTGTATTGGACCATCCTCTTAAACAATGTGAGTTCCACGTCCCGATGTGGGACTTGAACCCACAACTTTCTGATTTAGAGTGCTACCCACTGAGCTAAGCTGACACAACAACAAATTACATTTGTATAGCCTCTTTCACATCAGCAGGATATCTTAAGATTTTGGAACACACCATTGGCTGGCCAACACATCCTCCAAAATAAACAAAAATGATCACCCCACTCCACGGCTGTTTGTGGTATATTGTTGTGCTCAGCTGAGCTTCATCTACAAAACACACAAGCAATCCTGCAAAGCTCTGAGATGTCTCAACGTTGTGATTAGGCACTATATTAGGCACTATATAGCTTTGGGACGTCCTCCCGACGTGAAAAGCGTATTTCAAATGCAAGGATTATTATTATTATTATTATTATTATTTTATGAAATCCAAGGATTATTGTAACAACCTTCACTTTAACTTCAATTCAATTGTATCCTGTAAGGAACTTTGCTTTGCTTAATTTCACATCAAATGCGCTGGATAAATATCAGTTATCTGCAACACTCATCCTTCTGAATCAAAAGGTTATGGCTTCAGGGTCCCATATAATATAAGCACCGTAGAGATTCCAAAATCAATGTTTCCTACCTTGGTAAAGAAAAGGCAGTACTCACGATGTATCTGTCTCTGATGTTCTCAGTGCTGCAATCAACTTCCAGGCTGTTGCTGAGTTTCTCTTCTGCCCTCACTTTAAATATCATTTATACAACAGAATGTAATTGGACTACAATGTTTAATGGGTTTGCCAAATTTCTGTTGCTGTTACTCTTCAATCATTGCAATAACTAAGTCAAACAGGAAGTTTGGGGGTTACATAAGTCACAAACAACTTGCACTTACATAGTGTCCTCCCATTTTAGGTGGGATTTGACAAAGGGGAGAGAGGGGTCAAGGCAGAGGGAGAGTGTTCCAGAGTTTCAGGGCACAGAAGCTGATAGAACATCGGCGGACATGGATTGGTACTGTAGGAAGCAAAGTAGATTTATGTGTCATCTGCGGAATGTCATCACCCCCATCTTGGAAAAACCTTCCCTGGATCCATCCCTCCTCTCCAGCTACCACCCCATCTCTAACCTCCCATTCCTCTCCAAGGTCCTGGAATGAGTCGTTGCGTTCCCAGCTCCACTCCTTTCTCTCTCGCCATTCTCTCTTTGAAACCCTCCAATCCGGCTTCTGCATTGCCACAGCATGGAAACAGCCCTGTTCAAAGTCACTAATGACCTTCTGAACATCTGTGATCAGGGCTCCCTCTGCCTCCTTGTCTTCCTCGACTTCTCTGCTGCCTTCGACATTGTCCACCACTCCATCCTCATACACTGCCTCTCCGCTTTACTCAATCTTCGCGGACCTGCCCTTGCCTGGTTCGATTCCTATCTCTCTCACAGTCTCCACTTTGTTGCCTCTAATGGTTTCTCCTCCAGCCCCGCACTGTCACATCTGGCGTCCCCCAGGACTCTGTCCTTGGCCCTCTCCTCTTTAATAGCTACATGTTTCCCCTTGGTGACATCATCCAAGACATGGGGTCAACTTCTATATGTATGCGAATGACACCCAACTCTATCTTTCTGCCTCCACCCTCAACTCCAGGATCACTGCTGTCCTGACAGACTGACGGTTGGACATCAAGTCCTGGATGAGGCAAATTTCCTGCAGTAAAATGTGAACAAGACCGAGGCCCTCCTGATTAGCTCACACCAGCGCCTCAGCACCTCAGGTTCTGGCAATATCAACCTCCATGGTTGCACACTACAACTCACCAAGCCAGTCAGGAACCTAGTTGTTTGTTCAACTGTCTTTTCTCCCCCACATCCAAGCCATGACCTGCTCTGCCTTCACTTATCTCCGTAACATCGCCCGCCTCCACCACTACCTCACCCCTCAGGCCGCTGAAACTCTTGTTCATGCTTTCATCGCCTCCAGGCTCGACTATGCAAATGCCCTGCTTAACGACCTTCCCAACTCCTCCCGCCACAGGCTGCAGATAATCCAGAACTCGGCAACCCGTGTCCTCTCCCACACCAAACTCCATGACCCCATCTCCCCTATTCTCGCCTGACTCCACTGACTCCCTATCCTTCAGAGGATCCAGTTCAAGATCCTGGTCCTCACCTACAAAGTCCTCCATGGCCTTGCCCCACCCTACCTCTGCGACCTCCTAAACCCCTACTAATCCACCCGTTCCCTCCGCTCAGCTGTCTCTGGCCTGCTCCACGTCCCCCGACCCACCCGCCTCATTGGTGGGAGAGCTTTCAGTCACTCTGACCCCAACCACTGGAATTCAATCCTCCAGTCACTCCGCCTCGCCCACTCATTGGCCTCCTTCAAGTCCAGCCTCAAGACCCTCCTCTTCGACCATGCCATCGGCCACCCCCTTTCCCCCCACCCCCTTTTCCCTCCCCTGACCCCAGTTCGGGTCTGAAATGCTGTACTCTGTCCAGTGCCTTGGGACGTCCTCCCGACTTGAAAGGTGCTATGTAATCTATGTAATCTTGTTGTTGTTGTTGTTGTGGAAGTTTACAATGTGTCTTCAGATTACTTCTCCCAGAGGGAGCATACTAGATAAGGTAAAGAAGAGGTCCAAGAATGGAGCTGTGGGGTAGCCAGGAGGTGACCGGGTCAGTGCGGGAGGAGAAACCATTTGCCGAGATGAAATAAAATTTCTTAAGTAGAAAGGCAATGAGTTGCATTTATATTGCATCCTTCACAAAGGATAAGCAGTGATGTCCCCATTGTAAGTGTTAACTGCTGAGGCTTAAAAATCCAACACCATAGACTCTTGTCAGATAATGCGATGAGCAAAATAGAAAACGGAATTAAATTAAAATCCAGGTATTTCAACAGAACCTGGTGTGATTGAGGAAATGGCCTGCAGGGCTGGAACTTATGGAGGGTGGAGCAGGAGAAACTAGAGGAACATAGTTGAGAATTGGATTCTACAGGTAAGAAAAGGTTTCAGTGGTGGAGGGGTGAGGTTGGAGATGTTCTGAAATATAAGAAACGGTCTGGAAAACTACCCTCTGATAAGGATATTTACAGTCATTTACTTTTACGGTCAAATCAACAGAGAAATTCACTTACCCAATACATGTAAGTCTCCCTCAGTTACACTGTGACAGACCTCCACTATTAGTTATATTGACATAAAATATTCACATTGATTTACAAGAAGTTTCTCTTTTCCTGGAGTGATGCATCCTACTTACCTAATTCCAGTAAAAATTAGTTGCAAGTCAGCAAGAGCCAAGGCTTGGGTATCCCAGAATGTGGTAATCCCTGCAGTTTAACCAGCTAAAACCGCAAAGCTTGTCACTGTTACCACTGTCTGGCAAGCCCTACCCATTAGGGCTTTGGCTTGCAGGTTTACAGGAGCTGAGTGGGATGATCTCCTGCCCCCAGTGACTGGTGTGCCCTTCCACATCTGGCTGATGAGCCCGGCTGGGCAGTGCTGTCAATCAGCAGTGCCCTGGAATACTGTGGACCTGCCTGGCTCAAGGACTTGACTGTTAGCACCAAATAAGGAAACAACTGCCATAAACCTCGCTGTGCTAAGCCATATCCTGCCTGCTCACATTGTAACCACACCCACACAAGCAGGGAGATTCCTTGTAATCCAAATGCTGGTGCATTTCACAGCAGACAAGAAGCTGAGTACAGGCAGGCAGGCAGGCAGTGAGAAAAATAGACTACAGAGGTTTTCGTTAACCTCTCCTCCCAATGCTTTTCTTGGCAGTTGTCAGATCCCTGTGTTCTCAACGGGAACTTACACGTGTTTTCGATCAACTGAATCTGATCGATCATGTGGCAGTGAAATATTCCGAACTTAGTTCAGCTGAGTTAGAGCCGTCCTTTTTGAGGAAATGCTGGATGTGGACTGGATGGCGATATTTGAAATTTGTGCGGCGATATATCTGCTTCGGGATCTTATGGCTTGGACTCACAGACCTGGGGTTCCACTGGCTGTATGCAGGCTGTTGTGGACTTACGTACCTGCTTCTTGAGAAACCAGTGATCCGAGAAGTTCAAAACTTCCTGGGCTTCAAAAGGTACAAGACTCTGTATGTGTTCCACCATTCAGTTCTGCAAGGAAGAATGAATTTGACAAATGTCTATGATTCCCTTTACAACAATATCCTAAAGTACATGTCACACAAAGCCGGTAGGTGCAAAACAAATCTATGTGTGTGTGTCCTCACTGCTCCATATCAATTAATAGCAATAGTTTGCCTTTACTCAAAACCTGTCAATCGGGGTAGTGTCTTGGAGTGTTTAACAGTGTTAGTTGTGTTAGTATCTGACCATAGGGTTCTGCTTTATGTTGTTAGCCTGGCTCAGTGGTAGCGCTCTCGCCTCCGAGTCAGAAGGTTGTGGGTTCAAGTCTTGTGTCTGGACGTGGAATTGCATAGTGTAAACTGATGCCCCAATGCAGCGCTGGGGGTGGATGTTCGATTGCCAAAGGTGCCATCCTTCAGACGAGACATGAAAACAAGGTCCCGTCTGTGCTGTTCAGGAGGTCATGAACAATCCACAGCCGCTATACAAAAATCAAAGGGAATTTCTCCTTCCTTTGCCTCGGCCAAGAGATTCCAAATAAAGCCAGTCACTCACTTCACACTGCATTGACCAATGAAATACACAATTCTATACTTCACAGTAAACGCTGTGAAGGAATTTTGCATGTCCACCTGACATAATTTGTTATAAATTGAAGATTATTATTATTATTTACAGGAAAGGAATCTATCATTTTCATTGTGGACGACGTGCAGGACGGCAAAACTGCACAGAACAACATCAAAGTTGAACAGCCAACTTTAAGCCAATGTTGCGAAAGTGTTTTTGTCTTCCAGAAAACTGAGGAGAATAGATGGAACCAACAGGAAAATCACAAATTAAAGATATTTCTCCAAACATACTTCAATACTGGTGAATTGACCAGTGTGGAATAAAAGCTAAAATGATATTTCAGTGTGCTCCTAGTTGGCCTATTCTAGTTTCATTTCTCTAAGCATGACCTGTGTTTCACAATTTATTTGATTATCAGAATAGCAGTGACAGGGTATTTATAGGCAAATAAAGAGAATTTGTGGAATCTTGTAGCTCAGTGGTTAGAGGACTCACAAGCAAGACACTTGGGTTTGATTCCCGGCAGGGCAAAATGTTGGACAAGTTTCCTTACTCCAGATGCCTCTGTTTACCTAAGAGTGAGTAGGAACCCAATTGTTAGTCAATTGGTAATGTGGTAATATTTCCTTCAAAACTAATAATAATGAATTGGTCAATTCAATCCACGACTGTTTATGGGACACTGCTGTATGCAATTGGCTCCCGTGTTTCGACAACAAAATATACAGTTAATTCACTTTACAGTATATTCTGTGAAACACTTTGAGATGCCTTGAAAACAGGATAAGGCACTAAATCAAATGCAAGGAATACTCTTATTATACAATAACATTTCTTTATTTTCCAGCAAATGCACAGTCACTACATTATAAAATCCTGTGAACTAATTTGAGATAGATATGCGCAATGTGAAAAGGTGCTGGTGCTGAAACAAGGATGGTAAAGTGAGGATATTCCAGTGGAGTTAATCTGGCTCTCCTCTCACTTTATACTCAGATCAATGGCTTCCATTGCTAATTGAGACGTTTTGTTAGGGTTTGTACATGGAGGTTTTGTACATGATGTCATTTTTAAATGTATAGATAATAAACCTCTTTAACATGAAAACACGGTCTCACTGATGTCTACTTATTTTCCTTATCCTTCTCGGAAAATTGTAAATTGCTGGCCACCTTCATCAATCATAGAATCTTCCTGGACAGAAGGAGAAGAGTCGGCCCATCGTGCCTTTGACAGATCTATGAAAAAGCTATCCAGCTAGTACCTCTCATTGATCTGCAATTTTTTCTTTTTCAAATACCTATCCAATTACCTTCTGAAAGTCACAATTAAATCTGCTTCCACCAACCTTTCGGGCAGTGCATTCCAGATCATAACAACTCAGGGTACAAAAAATTCTCCTCATCTCCCCTCTGGTCATTTTGACAATTGTATTAAATATATATCCCCTGGTTACTGACCCACAGTTTCTCCCAATTTTTCTCTTGCTGTGACAAGCCAAGTGCTTCCCGCTCACATTGTAATCAAAGCCACACAGCAGTGAGATATTGTGTAACCCAAAAGCTCGCACACTTCACAACTGTGGAGTCCTGTAGCTCAGTGGTTAGAGCACTCGCTTTGCAAGTGAGAGGCCTGAGTTCAATTCCAGACAGAGGGCGAAACCTTGGGCAAGTTTCCTTACTCCACACACCTAATGATAATCCCTCCCAAAAAAAACAATAATAAATTGGTCATTTTCAATCTACGACTGATTGTGGGACATTGCTGTGCGCAATTGGCTGCCGCGTTCGCCCAAAAATATGCAGTCAATTCACTTTACAGTATATTCTGTGAAGCGCTTTGGGATGTCTGGAAGACGTGAAAAGCGCTATATCAAATGCAAGGATTATTATTATTAACAGACAAGAACTGAACACAGGTAGACAGGCAGTGAGCAGGAGAATGGACTACAGGGTGGACCTCTCCTATTAATATCTTCCTTGGCAATTCTCCATTTCTTGTGCACTCAATGGAAAGTTGAGTCTCTGATACTCTGGGAGTGTGAAAGTGAAAGAAAGCTAGGGTGGGCTTTGCCTGCAGAAGGGATGGGAACCTGACCAAATAATACAATACAACACAAAATTACATTTGTACAGCGCCTTTCATATTGGGAGGATATCCTATGGTACTGGACAGTCAGGAATTTGGTGTTCAGGATTACAGAAGGTGGAGTGCAGGGAGGGTAGGAGGGTGGCCAATGGCTCATTCCAAAAAGAGACGCACCTTCAAGGATGCAAGGGATGGATGAGGCAAGGTGACTGGATGATGGAGTTTGAAAGGATGGGGGTAGAGAGGCTGTAGGCCTGACTGCTAATGGTGGAATGGGCCGGGGGGGGGGGGGGGGGGGGGCAATGTGGCGAAGGCTACAGCTTGTTGAGTGGAATGAATGGACAGATTGATGTTGGATCAGCAGGTCAAAGAGACAGAGAAGGGCGAGGCCATGGAAGGCCATGAGGACGAGGACGAGGAAACAGTGGGTGGCAGAATAGGGAGGTCTTCCTACCCTGAGACAGCAAAGGGGAAGCAAGTGGTCCCAGGTACATAGGCAGAAGGAGAATTATCTGTTTAGAGTGGGGGTCTGAGCAGTGCAGCCTGAGCTAGGCTGAGCCAGAGAGGGTGAGCAGCTTATATGGAGGAGTGGTACAGGAGTATAATACCAGCCTGGATCCTGTGACCCTGGAGTGTGTTAGACGATGGAAGAGACCAGTGATTCTGGAGCCACTGGGAACCTCTTCAACCCAGAAATAATCCTCCATCTTGGAATTATACCCATTGATACAGATTGGGATTTGTCTGATCCTAGTCAGATACAAATGAGAATCCGACAACAAACTCATTGTCTACTGGGTCCATGTAACTTCATCCACGGCTGGACACCCTCTGAAAACGTAATGACATTTGCAGTAATTTAGAAACATAGAAATATAGAAACAGGAATAGGCCATACAGTCCCTCAAGCCTATTCTGCCATTCTATAAGAACATGGCTGATCCATACCTCAAATCCAGTTTGCTGCCCTTGCCCTGTATCATTTAATAATCTGATCTAATATCTATACACCTCCGTTTTTAAGTTGTGAATGGATCCAGCATCCATTGCCTTTTCCCTGACTACTTAGCACCCTGGGACGTTCTACAGACATGGAAGGCACTTTACAAATGTCATTTTGTTGTTGTTTTGTGGGAGAGACTTCCAAATTTCCTTTACCATTTTGGGTGAAAAACTGCCTCCTAATTTCACTTCAAATGGCTTCTAATTTTAAGATTAGCTCTCATCCAGGACTCGATGTCCAAAAGACATTCTGTCAGGAAAGCAGTGGTCCCGGAGTCAAAGTAGAGGCAGAGAAGTAGAGTTTGGTGTCATCCACATACATGTGGAAGTTGACACCATGTCTGCAGATAATAATAATAATAATAATCCTTGCATTTGATATAGCGCTTTTCACGTCAGGAGGACGTCCCAAAGCGCTTCACAGAATAGACTGTAAAGTGAATTGACTGTATATTTGTGGGTGAACGCGGCAGCCAATTGCGCACAGCAATGTCCCACAAACAGTCGTAGATTGAAAATGACCAATTTATTATTGTTTTTTGTTTTGGAGGGATTATTATTAGGCTCTGTGTGGAGTAAGGAAACTTGCCCAAGGTTTCGCCCTCTGCCTGGAATTGAACTCAGATCTCTCGCTTGCAAAGCGAGAGCTCTAACCACTGAGCTACAGGACTCCACAGGACTTTCTGAATTTCTTTTGAATTTTTATATAGAGACAGTAAGTGCTAACAAAGTCAGTGGTCCATTTGCTGTACCTTCCCAGCCAGTTTACCTGCTATTATTATTAATAAACAACCAATGACTAAACCTTTCTTTTTGCAAACTAGAGAGAAATATACAAGAAGAACATGAAAGCGAATGTATCTCTAGGGTCCCTTAAAAAGGGTCCCGATGGAGCAGCTCTTTCTTTAGTATGGAAAATCAGATCTTTTTATTTTAACAGTAAATTTGAAGTAGAGATGCAATCGGCTGCTACCACACTCACATTACAGCTAGTGTGAACTTTACCATTTCAAACATCCAACCACAAATAATTAAATATATAGATGATGTCACTAAGAGGGAGCATATAGATATTGAAGAGGAGGGGATCAAGGACAGAGCCCTGAGGAATGCCGCACAGAGATGTTCCAGACGCTAGAGCAGAAGGTGTTGAGGAGATGAAGTGGAGGTGGTGTGAGAGGTACCATTGGAACCAGTCAAGGACAGAGCCGTGGAGGTTGAGGTGAGAGGAGAGGCGGAGGATGAGGATAGAGTGGTCGACGGTGTCGAAGGCAGCAGAGAGGTCAAGGAGGATGAGGAGGCAGAGGGAGCCCTGGCCATAATGTCATTTGTCACTTTGACCAGAGCTGTTTCTGTGCTGTGGGTGGCAAGGAAACCTGATTGGAGGCGTTTGTGAAGGGAATAGCGAGAGTGGTAGGAGTGAGACTAGGAAGCAACAACTCATTCCAGGACCTTGGAGAGGAAAGGGAGGTTGGAGATGGGGCAGTAGTTAGGGAGTAGAGATGGGTCCAAGGATGGTTTTTAAAGGTCAGAAGTGATGATGGTGGCTTTTAATGGGGTGGGAACAGTACCAGTGGACAGGGAGAGGTTAATGATGTTGGCGAGTAGAGGGGCAAGAGGTGAGCTGGGAGGTAAAGAGAGGTGTAGGCAAGAGATCAAGAGAGCAGTTGGTTGGTTTCATGTGTGTTATAGTGGTGATATTATCGATAGAGGAGTGGGAGATAGGTTCAAAAGTATGGAGGGAGGATGGGTAGGAGCCGAGGTGGGTGGGGAAGATGGGGAGGGGGTAGCGGACGGAATGGTAGAGACAGTAATTGTGAATTATTCATCAACAATGAATTGGTGGACAGCAAGGCCTTACTTGGGTAGGGTTGTCATTTCGACAGATGATGCAGAGTGGACAGAAAACAGAGGAGTTTGCAGGATGCAAAGTGGTGTGTGGGGAGGAGGAGAAGATTGACAGGAAGGATGGGAACGTGAATGAAGAGAGGAGAGCTTCACTTCCAGGGGCTGGGGCTGGTTTGTGAAAATGGAGGTTGGGGCAGTCATGGTGGCAGTTGGACATCTTGGCAGAAGATGCCCAGGCTGGAGCAGAGGGAGGCCGTGAGAGGGCCCAGGAGGGAGAGAAGACTGTGAGCTCATGCTTTGTTGGACCAAGAGCCAGAGAGGGTGGTGGTGGACAAAGATAAATTAGGAGGACGGAGAGGTGGTGAATAGAAAAGGCATCATTAAGACTGGGCTCCACATTAATTCACTTTACAGTGTGTTCTGTGAAGGGCTTTGGGACGTCCTCCCGACGTGAAAAGCGCTATATCAAATGCAAGGATTATTATTATTATTATTATTATTAAAGAGGTTTATTATCTGTACATTTAGAAACCTTGGGCAAGTTTCCTTACTCCACACACCTAATAATAATCCCTCCAAAACCAAAAACAATAATAAATTGGTCATTTTCAATCTACGACTGTTTGTGGGACATTGCTGTGCGCCATTGGCTGCCGCGTTCGCCCACAAATATACAGTCAATTCACTTTACAGTGTGTTCTGTGAAGCGCTTTGGGACGTCCTCTCGACGTGAAAAGCACTATATCAAATGCAAGGATTATTATTATTATTATTATTATAGTACATCAGGTACAAAACCACAGACTTAGCAATGGAGGCCATTGATCCGAGTGTAAAGTGGGCCGAGGAGCCAGTTTAATTCCACTGTAATAGCATCACTTTGTCATAGTTGTCACCCTATCACCTTGTTAGGATCAGGGCTTCATCTCACTGCACAAACATCATAAAAGTGTTGCATAGAATTTTATTATAAAGTGTTGTGACTGTGTTTGTAGAAAAATACAGAAATTTTATTACCTTTGGCCCTCACAGATTAATCATGGACAGGAGAATCTTTCTACAGTAAAAAGCAGCTATTTGAGCTGATTGTTCATCCAGAATAGCAATGGAAATCAGTCACAGCTACAACAACATCAACAACAAGTTGGATTTATATAGTGTCCACCACTCCTGACGGCATCTCAGAGCTATGGCACTACTGGTATTCTGATAATAAAAGACATTGGAAAACAAAGCTCATAGCAGAGAAACTGAAACCAGAATAAGATTGCTTCTGGTGTTCACTGACTGTCGCAGGCCAAACATTGAGAGCTCCATTTGGCCTTCACTCCACGTTGGCTACTTCAATGGTGTTGAAGTATGCTTGGAGATATTTCTTTAATCTGTGATCTTCGAGTTGGTTCCATCCATTCTCCTCAGTGTTCTGGAAGATGAAAATGTTATTGCAACATTGGCTTAAGGTTGGCTGTTCAACTTTGATGTTGTTCTGTGCAGTTTTGCCGTCCTGTACATTATCCACAATGAAAATGATAGATTTCCGACCTGTAAAATAATAATAAATAATAAAAGTGACATTGAAAAATAAAATCACACTAATCTGGGTTTCACAAGTACATAGATATAGAACAGTAATCTTGATTATTGTAAAATACAGTAGGCTGTAGATGTAGTATTATAGATTTGGCTATCTCGAGTGATTGCAACATAACAAATAAAGAACTAGAAGATTAGGAAACATATCAATCTACAATTGATGAATGTGGCAATATAAGACAAACATAGTTTGTATAATCAAAGGTGAAACTGGGACTGTTATTCAGAAATGGCTTAACACAGTACTTGGGGAGAAAAATATCAGCCTCCTACAGAAACTAGTTATTTTATTCCATAGAGGTTTGGCTGACCCATCACTGAAAGCCTCTAAAAACTACCTCTATAGAATTGTTTAAACTATAATAATATCGTAATAGTAATCCTTACATTGGTACCTTTCATATCAGAAGGACATCCCGATGCACTTCACAGAATTTACTATAAAGAGAAGTGACTGTTTGTTTTGTAGACAAAGTTGGCAGCCAATTTTTCTCAACAATATCTAACAAACAGCTGTGAAGTGAGGGACTGATCTTATTTCCCTGATTCTCCGTTGGGAGACTGGGATAGAAAAACTCCCAGCTCTTTTGGAATAGCATCAGGTTAGAACCCCCAACCTTCTGACTTAGAGGAGAGTGCTGTCGCACTGAGCCAGACCGACAACATAAACGAGAATCGTACCAGCAGATTCTAACACAGATTAATAAAATACAACTAATTCAAAACTCTACCTCCTCTATCTTCGTCCGTACAAAACCCTACACCTCAGTTGCTCCATTGCTCGCCAGACTGCACTGACTCCCAGTTGCTATTGTAATTGATTTGAAGACCAGTGCACTCAAATACAGATCACATCAGGCCATGGCACCTCTCTAATCTGTTCACACCCCACTCCTCTAACTGCTCCTTTTACTCACCTCGCTCCGGTCTCCTGCTTGTCCTCAGTCCCTCCACCATCAGTGTCTGTGCTCTCAGCTACTATACCCCAAAATCTCTCACCCCTTAACTTTATCAATCCCTCCTCCCCCACACTCCTTCTTGCTCATCTTGAAATCCCACCTGAAGGCTTTCTTCTTCGATCGAGCCTACAGTCACCCCTTCCCCCCCTCACTTCCTTCTCCTCAGCTCAGTGTGAGACATTGTCACTGTTAAGTGCTCCAATATGTTACCCAGATGAAAGAGTGCTGTGTAAATCAAAGTTTTTGCTGTCATAATAACAATAATAATCCTTGCATTTGATATAGCGCCTTATCACGTCTTCGAGATGTCTCAAAGCACTTCATAAAGAATACTGTAAAGTGAATTGACTATATATCTTGTGGCCGATATACAGCAGAAATTGTTTACGGAAATAGAGCTTTGAGTGAGGACCCCCTCAGATTGACATTGCACTTACCGACTCTCCATGACATGTATCTTAGAATATAGTCGTACAAAGAATCGTAGACATCTGTGATATTCATTCTTCCTTGCAGAGCTGAGTGGTGGAACACATACAGTTTCTTTTGCCACAAACTGCCCAGGAATGAGCTACACTTCCGAGCTTCTTGTTTCATCCAGCTGTTAAGATCAATGTATCTAAACCCGCAATAGCGGCTGAACAGCCAGTGGAATCTGAGGCATAGACATTGCCCCATGAACCTCACACACCACCAGACGCACCGCACGCTGCACACCAGCAAACACCAACACCACATCCAGCACTGCAACAAACACCACGGCTCTAATTCAGCTGAACTGAGTTCTGAGTATTTCACCTCCACATGATTGATCGGGTTCAGTTGATCGCGAACACGTGTAAGGTCCTGTTGAGAGCACAGGGACCTGACAATTACCAAGGAAGGCATTGGGAGGAGAGGTTCATCTAAACCTCTATAGTCCATTCTCCTCCTCACTATCTGTCTGTGTTCAGCTTCTTGTCTGTTGTGAAGTGTGGAGAGTTTGGGTTACATGATAATCTCCCTGTGTGGGTGTGGTTACAATGTGAGCAGCTAAATTATAGGCTGTCACAGGAGAGAAGGTAGGTTTATGTAAATCGGTTCCTTATTTGGTGCTAATTTAAAAAATAATTGGAATTGAAAGGATTTGTTTAGGTACAGAACAGGCTGGAAGGGTTGAATGGCCTGTTCCTGTGTTCCTATCCTCCTACGACTGTTGGTGGGACACTGCTTTATGTGATTTTCTGCTGCTTTTTCACAAAATATACAGTCAGTTCACTTTGCAGTATAGTCTGTGAAATGCTTTGAGACATCTCAAAGATGTGACAAGGCGCTATATCAAATGCAAGAAATATTATTCCATATAGAGGATAAAACAAGATACCAAGAAGTTTTTCTTTTCCCACATGGTGTTTCTAGAATGCTGAGATCAGATTGGTCAAAGAACCTTCTTCATCCAAACCTATCTCTTGATAGTTGTGTTTCCATAGTGGTGGTCGACAGTGAAAAATAGGTGTCAATCTGACTCAGTCAGGAGTGCTCTCACCTTTGAGTTGGGGGATGAAGCCCAACATTATGTTCTGGAGGGATGAGATTGGATAATAATTATAATAATACTTGCAAATGATATAGCGCCTTATCAACAACAAAAACAATGACAACAACAATAAAATGACATTTGTATAGTGCCTTTCACGTCAGGAGGATGTCCCGAGGCGCTGGACAGTCTCAGTTTCAGAACCGAGCTGGGGATCGGGATTGGGGACAGTGGCAGGCAGGGTGGGAAGCAGGGTGATCAAAATCATAATCGAAGAGGAGGATCTTGAGATGGGTCTTGAAGGAGGAAAGGGAGGGGACAGGCGGAGGGACTGCAGGATGGAGATCCAGAGGATGTGGTCAGATTGGCAGAGGGCCCCACCAATTGTGGGGCAGGGGATGCGGGGGATGTAAAGTAGGCTGGAGCCTGTTGAGCGGAGCCGGCAGGATAGTAAGGGGTTAGAAGTTTGCAGAGGTAGGCGGGGGAAAGACCATAGATGACTTTGAAGATGAGGACCAGGTTCTTGAACTATATCCTCTGTGTGATGGGAGCCCAATGGAGTCAGGTGAGGATGGAGGTGATAGGATCACGGAGCCAGGTGTGGGAGAGGACAAGGCTGCAGATTTCTAGATGATCAGCAGCCTATGGAGGGAGGAGTTTGGGAGGCTAACAAGCAAGGAGTTTGCATGGTCAAACCTCGATGTTATGAATGTGCGTATGAGGGTGTATGCTTGTGGTGTGACACAGTGGTGAAGTTGGGCAATGTTGCAGAGGTAGGGGAAGACAGAGCAGGTTATGCAGGTCATGGCATGAATGTGAGATAGAAAGGAAATTTGAGGGTCAAACAAGATGTCAAGGTTCCAGACTGGCTTAATAAGGTGAGTGTGCATCCATGCATGGTGATGCTGTCAGCGCCTGAGGAGTGGAGGCAATGATGGGTGGAGGGGAAGCCAATCAGGAGAGCCTCAGTCTTGTTGATGTTCAACTGAAGAAAGTTAGCCCTCATCCAGGACTTGATGTCTGACAGACATTCTGTCAAGGTCACGGCCATGAAGTTTGAGGTGAGAGGATAGGCAGTGGATGAGGATAGAGTGATCAACATTGTCAAATTCAGCAGAGAGGTTAAGGAGGACGAGCAGACAGATGGAGCTCTGGCTGCAGCTGGACAGAATGTCATTTGTCACTTTGACCAGCGCTGTTTCTGTGCTGCGGACAGCATGCAAAGTCTGATTGGAGGGGTTTGTAAACGGAATGGCAGGAAGGACGTTGTGAAGCTGGGAAGCAACAACTCATCCCAGGGTCTTGGAGAGGAAAGGGAGGTTGGAGATTGGTCAGTAGTTTGAGAGTAGGAATGAGTCAAGGGAGGTTTTTTTAAGGATAGGACTGATAATGGTGGTTTTTAAAGGGGTGGGAAGGGTACCAATGGAAAGGGAGAAGTTTATGGTGATTGTGAGTTAGATGGGCAAGGAGATGGATCTGGGAAGTAGGAGAGGGGTAGAGATGGGGTCGAGGGTGCAGGTTGTCAGTTTCATGTGGGTTATAGTGGTGGTGTAAGAGAAGTGAGAGACAGGTTAGAAGGTGTGGAGGGAGGGATGGGTTGGAGCTGGGGTGAGAGGGGAGATGTAGAGGGGATAGTTGATAGAAGGGCAGAGGCAGCTGAGCAGATCCCCTCGAGGACATCCAGCATCACCTCGCAGTTGGCATTGGAGATGAGGATGGGAGAGGCATGAGAGGGTGTGCGATGGAGCTAGTTGGTGATGAGGAGGACCCTGCGGTTGTCCTTGACCCCCAAGATTGTAGAACAATGATTCAGTGAAGGCGAGGGGGGAGCGGTAAGACTTGATGAGGTCCATACAGATCTAACGATGAACAGTTAATTCAGTTTAAGCCAGGTGCATCTTTGAGATGTCTCAAAGCATTTCAGGATATACTGGAAAGTGAATGGACTGTGTATTTTGTGGGCAAAACACAGCAGCCACAGCATTGTCCTACACACAATCATAGATTGAAGTGACCAATTTATTATTATTATTTTTTAAGGAATTATTAACCCTGGAAAACGATCCGTCAATTGACGAACAACCAGGTTCCTACTTACTGCTGGGTAACCAGTATGGAGTATGGAAACTTGCCCTGAGGGGAATCAAACCCAGGTCTCTTGCGGGTGAGGCAAGTACTCCAACCACTGAGCTTCAGGACTCCTTTTGTGGGGTGGGATAAGGCCAACATCATTCTTCATCTGAACCACTTTGCTTGGTCTGTCCTTTAACTCTCCATTTCTCTTACTTTATTCACTCTCTGACTTGTTCCTCTCTCTTTGCTCTCACACTCTCTTCCCAACCATGTCCCTCACAGGCTCCATTAGCCCAGGAATGACGGTTACATGAGAAATCAGGTAATTTCCCAAGACTCCTCTGCTCCTCTCACACGAGTGGTTCCTGAGAGACCCCGTGAATGACTCTATATATATATATCTATATATATACATGCTGCAATGGGTGATAAGCATTGGGATAAATTCACGGTAGCGCTTGGCTGCCAAAAGTGAACCGCCAAATTGGCGCAACCATTTTACCTGACAATCCCAAGCCCTTTTGGGGAGCCAGTCCAGTCCGCCGCTGCATGAGCCTAACACCTCACTCAACCCGGCTCCACTAACATCCCATTCCTTAGCGAATCGAGTTTAAGATTCCTGCTCCGGATAATCAGGAAGCTCAATCAGAAAAAGATAATTTTTCCCACACAGATCAGAGGCTCTCACATTAATATTCACACTGTAAGGAAACTCTACTGGCTGGAGAATCAAATGTGTACAATTTGGATGTGAAACAATCATTTAATTTACGCTAAATATATCAGTCAATGCTTATATATTGCATTATAATCAGTCCCATTAGACATAGAATAGTATATAAAATGCTCTTGCTGGAGTAAACTATTTCTGAGTGCAGTTTTTTTGTGCCCACACTGTTGTGTCTGGACTCCAGCTGCTCAATCAAATGAAGTTGGTTTCACTTTTTCAGGACGAATTCTTTTGATGACACCATCAGCACGGGACAGACACTTTCGAATGATTTCCAGAATTGCTGTGTCTGTTTCCGTGTTCCTATTTGTTTCTTTCTCATGATAATTGTTTACTGGAAATGTGTCAGTGCAGTGGAAGTTTCCAAAAAAGCCCCTGAATGTATCAAGGCTCACTGCCATCTTCTCAGCAAACATCAGAACAATTATAGGATAGATCCCTGTAAAGTGAGAGAAAGAGACTTGTTTTTCAGGCAAGAAACAACAACAACATTAACAACAAGATTACATTTGTATAGCGCCTTTCATGTTGGTAGGACATCCCAAGGTGTTGGAAAGTGTGCAGCATTTCCGACCTGAGTTGGGGTCGGGGGAGAAGGAAAGGCAGGGGAATGAGGGGTAACCAATGGCATGGTCGAAGAGGAGGGTTTTGAGGTGGGACTTGAAAGAGGCTAAGGAGGGGGCGAGACAGAGTGATTGGGGGATGATAAATTGATGGAATTCCAGAAGTTGGAGGCAGAGTGGCTGAAGGCTCTCCCGCCAATGGTGGGGCGGGTGGGTCGGGGGATGTGGAGCAGGCCAGAGCCGGCTGAGCAGAGGGAGCGGGCGGGTTGGTAGGTTGTTAGGAGGTCACAGAGATAGGGTGGGGCGAGACCATTGAGAGCTTTGTAAGTAAGGACCAAGATTTTGAACTGGATTCTCTGCAGGATAGGGAGCCAATGGAGTCGGGTGAGAATGGGGGAGATGGGATCACAGAGTTTAGTGTGGGAGAGGACAAGATATTCAAGAGAAATCTTGATATTCAACATTTATTCCTTCAGATAGATTTGGTGTCTTTCTGGGTCAGTTGCTCAAGTATTTGTCTCTGAGTCAGAAAGTTGTAGGACTTGGATTCACAGGCCGAGACTGAGTTTCTCTCTCTCCCAGTATCCTGGCGATAACTCCCAGATAAAATTAGTCATTCTTTTCACTGTTGTTTCAGGGACGTTGGCTGCTGTTTCTACTCGTTCTTTTATCCGCCCCTTTTGGTCAGCTGATTCCGACCTCCTACACATCCTCCATGCCCTCCGCTCCACCATTGGTGGCTGATCTTTCGCAAACTTTTTTTTAATCAAATTCAATGCCAACTTTTGAAAGAAAAATTAAACATTTTGCCACACTTTCTTCAGAAGGAAGCATGGCAAGTACTTATAGAATCATAGAATCATAGAAAGTTACGGCACAGAAGGAGGCCATTCGGCCCATCGAGTCTCTGCGGCTCTTTGACAGAGCAACTGACTTTTATTAAACCCACTCACCAGCTTTCTCCCCATAACTCTGCAAACCCGTCTTCCCCAGATACCTACCCAGTTCTGTCTTAAAACCTGTTATCGAATCGGACTTCACTGCCCTTTCGGGCAGATCATTCCAAATTCGAACAACTCACTGAGTGAAAACATTTCTTCTAACCTCTCCTCTGCTTCTTTTGGTAGATATCTTAAGACTGTGACCACGAGTCACAGACACAGCTACCAGTGGAAACAGGTTTTCCCTATCTCGCCTGTCGAAACCTTGCATCAGTGTTCGTGTTGTGTTGAACCTCATGTGGATAAAAGATCTCTCTTATAAGTTTTTTCTTACCAGTGTAGTAATAGGCATTGTCTATAAACTGACGAAGTTGGTCAATTTCAGACGTAATCCTGGGCATATCCGCTCTGCATTATGGAATCAGATTTCAGATGTTAGAATAATAATAATCCTTGCATTTGATGTTATGATGCTTCGAGTCATCTCAACGTGCTTCACAGAATACACTGTAAAGTGAATTGACTGCATATTTTATAGGCAAAACACGGCAGCCAATGCGTACAGCAGCGTCCCACAAACATGGATTGAATTGACCAATTTATTCTTATAATTTTTTTTGAAGGAATTATTACCCCCGAAAAAGTGATCCACCAATTAACTAACAACCATGTCTCTACTCACTGCTAGGTAAACAGAGGCATGTAGAGTAGGGAAACTTGCTCAACATTTCGCACCACCGGTGAATCAAACCCAGGTCTCTCGCTTGCGATGCAAGTGCTCTAACCACTGAGCTACAGGTAAACTCACATAAATCTGATCTATAAATTGTTTAATCAGCTTTGGTCTCCCCTCCACCCACTCATGCCAGGTGTGGTCTAACTGGTGGCCAGCAGACCACATGTGGTATAGGGGTTGTGGGGGCAAGGGAGTTTTATCTACTTTGCATCCTTCACTACCAACTCCAGATCACCGATGTTCTATTAGCTTGTCTGGCAAACATCAAGGCCTGGATGAATGTAAACTTCCTGCAGCTGAATGTGAACAAGATGGAAGACATGCCCCATGGCTGTCGATCTGAACCCCTCAACCTCCCTGGGCATTCCCTCAGACTAACCAAACCAGTGCACTATCTAGGCATTCGGTTCAACCCCCAACTTTCCGAACTCCTCCACATACAGTCACTGACCAGGACCGCCTTTTTCCACCTCTGCCACATTGCCCGTGTCCGACTGTACCTTATCTGAAATGCATCCAAAACCCTCGTGTGTGCGTTTTCACCTCCCACCTGGATTATTCCAATGCACTTCTCGCCGGTCTCCCCAGCTCCACTATTCAAAAGATCCAGCTCATTCAGAACACTGCTGCCCGCAACCTGACCCGGACAAAACTCCGTACTAACATCTCACCAGTTCTGGCCAAGCTCCACTGACTCTTCATCGCTAAAAGGATTGATTTCAAGATCCTAACATTCGTGTTCAAATACCTTCGCTCTTTGCCCTACCTGTCCAACCTCCTCACTCCCTAATCCGCCACCCAGTGCCTCCACTCAACTGGCATCTGCCTCCTGCCATCCCTCACACCCTCTGCCCCTCCAGCCACTATGCCACTATGCCCCGAAACTCTGGAACGTTCTCCCTCAATTCCTCCACCTTGATCCCTTTTTTTCCGCCTGAAAACTTCCTCTTCAACTGTGCTTACGACTACCTCCCCACCTCCCCCCCACTCCGGCTCGGAGTCAGGCTCCGCCATTGTTAAGCGCCCTGAGATACTACCCTGCATGGAGGGTGCTATATGAGTGCAAGTTGTTGTAGTTGTTGCTATTTACTTGTAAATGAAAATCGGAACATGTATTGTCTCGGCCCATTCCTCTTGTCGGTTCTTCCATATATCCAGAAACCAAGCCCAGGAAGCCCAGCCTGTGGTGCACACCTGTGTCTGGGTTTTCCGAACTCCATCTATTAAATCCAACAGAATTATAATACATAATAGTTCTTCTCTTTGATATAATGCTTTATCACGTCATTGAGACGTCTCAAAGAGCTTCACAGAATATTTTGTGAAGTGTCTTGTTTCTGTATTTTGTGGGCGAATAATGGCAGCCAATTGCCCACAGTAATATTCCACAAACAGTCACGGATTGCTTTTTTTCTCCAATAGCTCACACGATCTTTAATTTCCACCTGAAAAGAAATTAACATCTCATCCAAAGGATGGTACCTCCAACAATGCAAATCACAACCAGCACTGCATTGGAGGTTCAACATAGACAATGTTATTCCAAGTCCTGACATTGCGTTTGGACCCACAACCACAACAGCAAATTACATTTCTGTAGCGCATTTCACATCAGGAAAACTTCCCATTCTAGCTCAGAGGCAACAGCTAGAGTAAATGCAAAAAGTAATAAATTGTACAGATATTCTTGATATTTACCCAGTTGCATGTTACATTCATGTATTTCTCTTGGATTCAGATTCCTCAAACCTCGATTGTCGACAATTTCCACTTTGCTGGTGAGGTCATGGACTTCAAGCCGATTATTGACAGCTCCACCTGTTGCAGGACCTTCTCCTGTAAAGTTTTCATAATCGCTGTCTTTCACGACGCAGAGGCAGTTGTTAATAAATGTAGATTTGCCGTGTCCCAATTTTCCAAATACGCGAATGCTGATCTTTTTGGGAATATATCCCTCAATACTTAGATTTTTGTTGGGATCATACTCTAACACTTCCTTCCTGAGATCTGCAATCTTTCTCGCATCCATCCTTCTCTCAGCTGTGAAGTGCATAAAACAGAGAGCAGAAGGGATGTTTGTTGGTTTTGTTTCGGTAGGTGTGTGATAGGTTACGCAATGGAAAAAAAACCTTCAGATCAAACAACCATTCAGCACTCACCAACCACTGATCCAATGATCTTTAAATGACAATAAACTCGAAAGTGATAAAATACAGCAGATAATATGGGCCTTGTGCCCACAACCTTGTGATTCAGAGTTGAGATCGTGAGACTCACTGACACACAGTCAAATGGATAGACAACATGTAACTGCCTCTGTTACATGCCTTGGGAGGACAAGTTTGCAGGGCTTATGGGGAGAGAGGGGGAGTGGAATTGAATTGGATAGCTCTTCTTAAAGGGCCAGCATAGACACACAGAATGGCCTCCTTCTGTGCTGTGTAATCTATGACCAGCTGTGAGACATATGGACGTAACCGGCGCTGGATCAGAATAAAGATTAATATTATTAATATTTGTAGGGTTTTAATAATGTGGTTGACCCTGAGGAAAGATGGTAGAGAGAGATGATCTTGCATTTGATACAGCACCTTATCACATCTTCGAGATATCGCAAAACGCTTCACGGAATATACTGTAAAATAAATTAACTACATATTTTCGGCGAAACTCGGCAGCCAGCAGTGTCCCACAAACAGTCGTGGATTGAAAGGCCAATTTGAGATAATGGAAAAATCAAAGGGTTAATTTATTAATCAACAAGACGGTTATTAAACAGTGATAAGTTTCATGCTTACAACTGCAGAAGATGATTCAGGTCAAGCTGATCTCGACCTTCCCTGAGGACACCAACACAAACAATCCTTTGACTAATTGCTCAGCTCGCGATCCCTCACTGTATCGAAGCTCTTAACATTTGTTTGGTTCCTTTATACCCCAAAGTTTGGACACATGATGACAAAATAAGAAGGTGTGGCCAGAGGCTATTCCACCCAATGAAAGTTCACAGATTAATTGCCCAATCCTTCCTTTCTCCCCACTTTGGTTGTGAAATTGATCCAACCAGACACATTTCCTCACTCATAGTTTATCAAGGTTTTAATCTCAGGAATTTGGAAATTCCTTCGAAGCTGTAGCTCAGTGGTTCAAACATCATGAAATCGAACATCGAAATAACAACAGAAGTCTCTGGGAACTCACAGCAGATTCCCACAAACAGTCTCGTGGATTGAGTGACCAAATCATTCCTATTATTTTTTTTGAAGGAATTATTTATTACCTCTGGCAATTGGCTGCCGAGTTTCACCTACAAAATATACAGTAAATTCACTTTGGAGCCTTACCACCATCTCTTGGTGACAAGTGATAACTGCAGCTCGTGGTCTAACCCTGGTCAAAAAGCAAAATACTTTGGTTGCTGCAAATCTGAAATAAAAACAGAAGTTGCTGGGAAAACCCACAAGGTCAGGTGGCAACTATGGAGAGAGGAAAATGAGTTAACGTTTCAGGTCTATCACCTATTGTCAGACCTGGGGAATGTTGGAGATTATAACGAGTACATTATTAAGAGCAGATTTTTAGCAGCAGATAATTGAAAGAAGATTATTGAAAGAAATGATTAAGAACAGATTATTACGATTCTTCCAACATTCCCCAATTCTGAAGAAAGGTCATAGACCTGACACATTAACTCATTTTCCTCTCTCCATAGATGCGGCCTAATCTGACCCTGATGTTGTTCAGATGGTCTCTCGGTGCAGTGACAGCAACTGCCAGGAGAGAGCGGAAAAGCTCAACACAAACCCCGATCTCTTTTAGTTTTGACATTTAGTTATTAATAATATGACAACAACAATTAAAACAAACTTGCATTTGATCACGCAATATCTCAAATTACTTCACAATTGGCAGTCAATTACACACAGTAATGTACTACAAACAGACGTGGAGTGAGCGATCAATTTTCTTTGGGGGATTGTTGGCCAAGAAATCAAGAGTCAGAAACTCCCGTCTCTTTTCGAATAATGTCTTGGCATCTTTACTGACCAACTGAACAGGCAGATGGGACCTCGACTGAACGTCTTATCCGAACGATGGTGTCTCTAACAATGCAAACACCCCCAGTGCTACACTGGAGTGTCAGCATAGACTATGTGATTCCGTGTCCCAATGTGGAGTTTGAACCCATAACCCGCTACCCCTGCGCCAGCTGATACACACTGACAGTACTGGAATATCAGCCTGGACTGTGAGCTCAAAGTCCTGACCTGGGGCTTGAACCCACAACCTCTTGATGCAGGGGAGAGAGACTGAACCAGTGATGCTTGGCTGGTACACATTGGCTCACGAGTCAATCATTAACTTCACATTGAAATATTCTGTGTTGTTTGTTGTGAAAACAACAGTTTCCTGTTCAGAGATGTCAGTCAGACTTTGACAGTGTGCTTGTTACCATCTTTATTATTGTCTCTATTAACATCTGTGTCACCCTCTCTCTGTCACCATCTGTTACCCTCTCTGTCACGCTCTGTGGTATCCCCTCTGTCACTTGAGCCTTGGTGTCCCAACTCATGATCATGAGAGATGGGGAAAGGGGGGATTAAAGGGATCTGATTTTTGGGATCTGTTACAAAGTCTTTATGCTCAAAGCCAAGTGTTGTGGTATTTCCGGAAGATATTTCCTCAAACAGGATTCTGAGATTAGGAAAATTTGTTTTCGCACAGAACTGTTGGAATACTGAATGTTCTGCTGGGAGTGGTGGTTGATGCAGAATTCATGTTGGCTTTCAAGAAGGAACCAGCCAAAAAGCTTAAAAAGCAACAATTTGCACTTACATGGCACTTTTCACGTTGGTGGGATGGTCAGCGTAGGGAATGTGAAGCAGAGCAGTGTCCACCAAGCAGGCAGGTTGGCAGGTTTAAGAAATTTGCAGGCTTTGGGTGGGGCAAGACCATAGACAGCTTGAAATGTGAGGACAAGGACCTTAACTCAATGCTCTGGGGGATGAGGAGCCAGTAAAGCTGGGCGGAGGTGGGTTGAATGAATCACAGATCTTGGTGCAGTAGAGAATAGGAGCTGCAGACTTCTGAATAATCTGCTACTTTTGGGGGCCAGATTTGGGAAGTCCAGCGAGCAGGTACTTGGTGTAGCCAAGCCTGGACGTGAAAACTAGGGTCAAAGGAATATATGTGGGTATGGAGAAACATCAGATAAATGGGACTGAAAGTATTGGTTTTGAGGGATCAGGTACAGACACAATGGGCTAAATGGCCTTCTTCTGTGCTGCAAATTTCTTTAGTTCTGTGGGTGTCACCGCATTGGGATAAACTCCTGACATGAAAGGTTTAATTCAAATATAATTTGTTGTTCTTTTTGTGTGGGAGAGGGAGAAAGAGGCAGGTCAATAGGACTTAACAATTTAGGTAGAGGTACAGAAATGGGTGGATGAGATGTAAGGTTCCGATGTGCTTCCATCTCATCCACCCACCCACTACACCCCGAAGCTCTGGAGCTCTGTCTCATAATCCCTCTTCCTTGATGCCTCCCTCTGCAATTTCAAATCCTAACCTGGTGTCTGTCCTGAAATTGCTGTTTCCAATTCTTAACCCATGCTCTCCTGTTCTACTGTCTGATTGCATCTGAATATATTGATCTGGGTTGAATCTTTCAATCCAACAACAACAACAACCACAACAACAAGATTCCATTTATAAAGCGCCTTTCACGTCAGGAGGACGTCCCAAGGCGCTGCACAGTTGGGTCATGATCCAATTTAAAATTTAAAAATTTAAAAAATTTAAATCCAATTTAAAAAATTTTAAAATCTAAAAAAAAATTTAAATCCAATTTAAAAAGGAGTACTTTCATGAGCTGAAGTCTAAAGATCCATAACTTGTGGAGTCCTGTAGCTCAGTGGCTAGAGCACTCGTCTCGCAAGTGAGAGACCTGGGTTCATTTCCCGGCAGGCAAAATGCTGGGCAAGCCTCCTTACTCCACATGCCTCTGTTTGCCTAGCAGTAAGTAGGTACTGGGTTGTTAGTCAGTTGGTGGATCACATTTCTGGGGATAATAATAATAAAATAATAATAATAATCCTTGCATTTGATGTAGCACTTTTCACGTCGGGCGGACGTCCCAAAGCGCTTCACAGAACACACTGTAAAGTGAATTGACTGTACATTTGTGGGCGAACGCGGCAGCCAATTGTCCCACAAACAGTCGTGGATTGAAAATGACCAATTTATTATTGGTTTTGGAGGGATTATTATTCGGCTCTGTGTGGAGTAAGGAAACTTGCCCAAGGTTTCGCCCTCTGCCTGGAATTGAACTCAGGTCTCTCACTTGCAAAGCGAATGCTCAACCACTGAGCCACAGGACTCCACAAATAATGCCTTAAAGAATTTTTTTTAAAATATGAATAATTTGGTTTGACTGTTTATGGAACATTTCTGTGCACACTTGGCTGCCACGTTTCATCCACAAAATTTAGTCAATTCAATTAACATTATATTCTGTGAAGCGCTTTGAGACATCCAGAAGATGTGATAAGGCACCATTTCAAATGTAAGTATTATTATTATTATTATTGGAGCTCTTAGTGTGTGACCTGGCTGATCACACTTTTCTGCAGGCATCACACACTTGGGTGCCTAAAAAATATTGAATCCAGAGCTCACTTTGCCAGCTCAGCTTTTAATTCCACAACTTAATGTCTGACAGTTAACGGCCATTAGTGAGTGATTGAAACAGACCTACAGAGTGAAACAGCAGATCCTGTTAACCCTTCAAGGCAAAGCCCTAACAGCTTATGCGGTTATAATGCACTCTTGGACTCTAGCCTGCACTAAGGGCGCTATATCTTTGATCTCCTCTTCGATCGTGCCTTCAGTTACTCTCCCACCTCTCTGTCTTCCCTCACCCCTACCCCACCCCTCCCCCATGCTCGGGTCCTGAAGCCTGACTATCCTGACGCCTTGGGACATACTTCTGACGTGAAAGGCGCTCTATCAATGTCATTTCGTTATTGTTGTTGTATCCAAGTTGCTGTTTAGGTGCACAAGCAACGGGAAAGCTTGCCAGGCAGTGATCTCAATGGGCAAGCTATATGGTTTTGGCTGGTTAGACTCTAGCTGGTACCTCAATGCCCACTCTAGGATCACTAAAACTTGGCTCTTGCCCAATACTCTCTGGAATTAGGTAAGCAGTACATCCTTCTGGGAAAAATAATACACATCCAGACATGGGTAGATTTCCATGTGTAATTGTCGAATATATGTAGAACTCCTAGTCTGCTGATCACAGTGACGGGTTTCCATGCATATCACACACCCCGCTGATCACAGTGAGAGGTATCTATGTGTGTCAGACACCCGGCAAATCATAGTGATAGGTTTCTATATGTGACAGCCACCCGGATGATCATGGTGATGGGTTTCCATGTGAATCAGACCCCTGGCTGGTGAAACAGCTGAGCTGTAGAGTTAATCATCTCTCCGTGTCCTCAGGTTTTATTACTGACTACAGCCAATCACATATTGACACGAAAGGCCAGATCACAGCTCAGTCTGAGCCCTCTGTAAAGAGGAACAGATTGTCTTGGCCACGGATATTGACAGCTGCCAGTTACCAAAGTAGCAGTAAGTTTACAAATAATTTGTTTCCTTGAGTGTTATGATATCTCGGTAATCTACGTTATCCTCGATTGTTACAATATCTAGGCTGAGCTATGTCAGAGGAGGGTAACAGAACTTGCCTGTCTCAGGAACCAGAATAGAGACCACCATGGTTTGTGGGCCAAATTCTGTCAACCGTCGCCAAACATGTTGCTTTAAAGCCAGTTAAGTTCAACTCCAAGGGTCTTTCCATTTGTCAGATCTCCACTGTTTCCACTGGCAC